AGTCTTTCAAGCAAAGCCCCTGTTTTAAACTTGTTTTCCTCTTTTGGGTGCCCATAAATTCCGGTAAATTTCCATTCATCACTGCCATCACTGATGATTCTAGTGTCGATATGATTCAAAGAGAAAGATTGTATAGAAACATCAAGACACGGTCTCCACAAAATAGCAAGGCTCCCTCTTCTTTTCCTACCTTCACCCTCACAACTTACAGCAAAAATATTCTCAAAACCCAACTTAGTTTTCACCCTGTCCATCTCAAAGGATTTCATCCTAGTCTCCGATAAGAAAATCATTTGGGGATGTTCAGTTATTACAATGCGTTTAAATGCATTCATTGCATAGGCACTCCCCAAGCCTCTGCAGTTCCAAGAGAGGATGAAAGTCATGGCTCACCGAGAGCCCATGACGTGGGGCCCGCCACTTCTTCAAGTCTCTGTGTAATATCCCTCCTCTTCACAGTAACTCCAGCTTCACTTTCAATCAGCTTCCCTTCAATTATCCCCTCCTCCCTCTCTACCCTTTTAACTCCAGAGCTCACTTTCCCCTCTCCAACAGCACTACTCCCTCCCTTTTCTAATTTTTTCCAGGTTCTTTTTTTCTTGCTACTTCCTTCATTCCCCTCATAGCTATCTAGATGCATCATTTCAGCCTCATTATCCTCCCCTTCTCCAATCATATCATCCCCTTTATTCATCTCTACATTCTCAACAGTATCCTCGACATCTGTGTAAATTGCTGTAGTAGCTTTAGTCACCCCAATCTCACTCATTTTTTTTGTCATCACCTGCACTGTCGGATCATGTTGCTTTTTCTCACTTTCTTTTGGTTTAGTAACAAAAAGCTTCTTTGCACAGGAGCTAGTCATCTGACCATGATAGTTTTCTTCAGAATTTTTATTCACCTTCCATGGGGATGCTTTTAACCACATACCATATTTAAGGACAGCCGCCTCCGAGTCTCTACATTCATCACAATCCTTTACTCCATGACCGATCATACCACAAAAAAAAAAAAAACAAAAAATGGGAGGTTTTTCATATTTTACATCAAAGGTATCTTCCATTCCACCCCTCATCTTTAGTTTAACACATTTACGCAGAGGTTTTCGAACATCCACTAACACTCTCAACCGAATTGATTTATCAATCCCCAATGAGGTCTAACTATCCATTTTGAGAAAGGTCCCAATTTTGTTACCCAGCTTTTCGACATTATTCACATTCAATCTGCTTTTGAATGGCAAATTATACACCCTCACCCACATAGGCAAGTTAAACACCTCTACATCAGACGGTTTCTCATTACTTCCAATTTCTCCGAGAACTAACGCATGACGGTCGAAATGCCATGGTTGGTCCTCAAGAACCCTTCCCTTATCTCTCCAATGGTAGAATTGGAACATGAAAAGGTTTTCCCAATACTACTAATATCGACACCGTGTTTAGGGTTCCACACCCCTTTAATGGTACTTATAAAAGCATTAACATTAACAGAACGTTCAGTCCAGATCTTACCTACTACGCTCAGTTCGACCCTAGCATCCTCATCTTCCTCCTCTTCTACGTCCCATTCCACAGCATCATCATCAGTTTGCTTGTCGATTGTGTCATTGTCCTCCAAAGGGCTACTCGTACTTTGATAACCACTCTTACTTGCTTCCTTCTCTTCTAGAACTATATTGTTTGCTACTACTATTTCTTTAGATGAATTCTCCATGGAAAAGCAATAAATCTTCTCGAAAATTCGAGAAGAAACCTTCACACAAAAGGAAAACCTAGAAACCCTAGAAAAAACCCTCCCAAGAGACGTGCTCTAGAGGGAACTCCACTACCAACTTAGCTAAAGGCAAAATTCTTCTTTATTTCTTACACTCAATTTTATATAACTATTTTCCCAGTTTTTTTTTTTTTTTTTTTTTTTTTTTTTTTTTTTTTTTCTGAAATTTTTTTCCTCTGCTTTTTATTTTCGAAAGTGAGGGGACAATGTTCCCCCTTGTTCCTTCGTAGGTCCGCCCATCAGGGTCCGTGATGTCATTGATTTCTCGCAATTTCACAACATCTTGTGTCTTAACAAAAATCTATTTCATAAACTAAATTTCTTAAAGTTGTCCCAAAATTATTTTTTAATTTTTCTAAGAATCAAAGCAAATTTGTGCACATGAGCTTTATAGAATTATCCATGAAAAGAGAGATAGAGAACAGTAAATCTTGACAATTACCACGTATAAATGTTGTTTTAGCAATTACCAATTTTTTTTTTCTTTATTATTTTTTATACTAGTACTACAAGTATTTTTTAAAACATCAAAACTTCCCACCTACTTGTCTCTGAAATGTGATTTAAAGTGAGGCTCACTAACTACTTTCTCATCTTATTTCCCTCCTTTTCTTTCTCTATCTCTCAATTTCTCATACCCCTATACTATATTCCTCTTAAAATAGGGGAAATACATAATAAACTGGTACACACGCAAAGTTTGCAAGTGCGACCCAGACCTTTTATCTAACATAAAGTCTATTTTACACATAAATAGATAAATTGGTACACACGCATAGTTTCGTTCTCCAGTATTGAAAGTTCAACATCCATGCTTTCATAGTCAGAAAGTCTCAACTGTTTCACATATGTTCATCACTTCGACTAAATGACATAAATGTTGTCAAAAAAAAAAAAAAAAAAGACTAAATGACATACATGCAAATGATCATCTTGCTATCAGAGTAACAGACTCACCTCAACTAGGGGTGAGCACAACCGGGTACCCGGTGAAAAACGAAGGAACTGGTCTTGGAACTGGTTTGTACCGGGTCCTAGATTTTGGAACCAGACCCGGAACCGGGTCCAGAATATTTAGAACTGGAACTGGAACTGGTGGTAACCGGTTCTAGAACCGGGTACCCGGTTACATATCCAAAGGAAAAATCAGATTTGATCGATAAACAGAAATTATATTTATTTAAAAAAAAATACAAACCTAAAAGTATTATATGAAAATTGTAGAAAATAAAGATGAAAAAAAGTAGATCTGAGCATTTAGAGAATGTACAGTAGCAAACTCGAGTTATATTACATAATCATGGCTTTTTCATAAATTTATTAGCCTGAAATCACACAAATCATCCCTAAAACTCAGAATAATAGAGTATGTAAGCTTGATTCATCTTTAATCTTCATCTGTTTTCGGCCTCTTCTTCACCACCTTTATCTTTTACCTCTTTCTATTGTACAAATAAAAATTAAGGATGGAAAAAAGTGGATTTAGATACAAGAATTTGGGAAAAAGATAAGAGTGGAGTGATTAATTTAAGTTGGGTGAAATAATCATCAAATTGGAGTTTGATGTTTGACGGATGAAAGTAGAAATTATGAGTGGTTTTTGGTGGGTGATGAAATGAAAAAAACATGAGTTAAAAAAAAAGTACTCCTTAAATATATGGTGACTAATTAGGTTAGAAATAAAGTGTGGGCTAGGAAATTATAAGGCCCAATAGATAATTATGCCCCATATATTCAGAGCAGGCCACGAATAACATATTTTTAAAGCAATGCAACCAGTTCCGGGTATCCGGTGGGTACCGGGTCCGTAAAATCAAGAACTGAAACTGGTACCAGTTATAACCGGTTCCTGATTTTTGGACCCGGACCCGGAACCGGTTGCACCAGTTCCAGTTCTGGACCCGGCGGGTCCTAACCAATTCCGGGTCCAAAACCGGGTACCCAATAATTTTGCTCACCCCTAACCTCAACCATATAATTCACATAAAGTCGTCATATTTATCACATGTATACCCGACTGCCGACATTAGCTAGCATCCACATAACTGCTACCCGCGAGTAGCTTCTAGCAATCTTGTCAAGTAATAATCGAGAAGAAGATCAAACTTATAGCCAGTGAGTGTAATTGATTCATGCCACACCAAAAATTAAGATCAGAACGCAATTTCCATTGTTCTTATCAGATAGAGGTATATCAAAATCAAATTCAATTTTTGATGTGACTAAATCATTTCCGTGAATGAGTAACATTTGTTATAGTCTATTTTATTGATAACATTAAACTCACTTGGAAAAAAATGGCATTATTTTAAAAGTTCAATACCCACTTGATGATAAATTTGACAAAAATTGAAATACTATCAAATTTAATTAAACAATATTACTTGTACTATGCAACAACCTTCTTCAACTAATTAATACACAAAAGATGCTCCTAAATTATTACACATATTAACATTATCTTACCTTCATAAAAGCATCGGAAAGTGTAATATACATAGCAATATCACTTTTTAAGTGTCCAATCTTTGAACAAATTCAACAATTTTAGCAACATACATTTCGTATTCAGGCAATTCTGGAGCACTGTAAAAGAAATGACCAACTTTTGGATACTCAATTAATTCCACTTCTTTCCCGGAGTTTCTCAACACATGACAATACTTCATTCCCCAATCTTGCAATATGTCTAACCCGCCAACAACTGTGAGTGTTGGCGGCAGTGGCGGACTTGGGCTTAGACCTGGTGGGTCAAGTGACTCACCAGGCCCAAAAAAAAAATTTAAGTTATTTTAAAAAAAAAAAAAAATTAAAATCAGTTTTCCCCAAAAACACCAAAATTCAGTTCAAGACTTCAAGCCCTAGCCTTCTTCTCTTCGCGACTTCGCCTCATCTCCATTCTTCAGTTCGCCTCTTCGCTTCGTCCCAGCCAGGCAGCCACCGTTCTCTTCGCCTGGTGGTCGGACGTCGGTGGTCGTGGACTCCGTCCTCTTCGTGGCTTCTCGCATAGTCGCATAATCGCATTTCGAAATCGCTACTCGCTAGTAAGTTGATTTCTAATTTTTATTTTTAATTTCTAATCTTCAAATTAATTCAGTCTAATTAGTTAATTTTATTAAACTTTGGTTTAAACTTTGGTTGATTTGTTAATTTGTAGTTGGCTGTGCTGCTGAATTGGCGAATTGTTGTCTTGCTGAGTGCGTGCCTCGGTGCCTGAGACTTGAGTGCTGCCGACTGCCGTGCTGCGGTGCTGGCCGACTGCCCGTGGCCCTATTGCAGTGCTGCTCCGCCTGCTCCGCTGCTCGCCTCCGCCTAGCAAGGTAGGTAATCAACTAATCATCAATTGATTCTTTTTGTGAAATCTGTTTTGTGTAATTGTGTTTTGTGTAATTGTGTTTTGTGTAATTGAAATCTCTTGAACTTATTAGTTATTACTTATGTGAAATCTGTTTTGTGTAATTGTGTTTTTGGAAGTGGACAGTAATTGGAGATGATTACTAATTGATGATGATGGTGTGGAAAAAGTCAGGGAGACTAGTTTTTTTGTGAGGGAGTTGGCTAGTTGATTGCTGATCGTTGGATTTGTATGATGTTAACTCCACACAGCTAAGGACATGATTCAGGTGGTGGTGGTTGGGGCGGGCATGTAATCGGTAGTTGGAAATTAGGGTGGTGGTTACAGTTTGGGAATGAGGGAGGTGAGTTTGTAGAGAGGAGAATAAATATGAAAAAATTGGCATTTTGGGGTAGAGGTTCTGGAAATTGCAGAAAATGGTGTGGAAGAAAAGAAGTGCAAAAGATGACGTAGTCGGTAAATGGTGGGTTATCTGATTTATTTTTACTGCAGTTTTTGTTTTATTTTCGTAAGTGTTAAGTGGAAGATTAAGAAAACTTGGAGGGTGACGAAAGTGATATGAGTCTTTTGGGGGTTGAGGAAAATATGGTGTTGGATAGGGTGGAGTGTTTTAGAGAAAGTACACCGAGGACATGTCATGACTTTATATATGTATATATACTCCTTGCAACTGAACTCATTGTGTTTTGCATATTTGATTATCGATTGTGACTCACCAGTCGGAAAATCCTGGGTCCGCCACTGGTTGGCGGGAACGACTCCAAACCCGAGATATCCTCGGACCCCGGCCCGAGTATATTCGCTGCCGGGTGGTCTCGGTCCGACCCGATAGGTAAGAATGCCTTCCAAGAGAAATCGGTCTGGGCTAAAGTCAAAACCGGAGGATTCTTCACCCGAAGTTCGGACTCTGTCCTTTTCTCCCCGCCAAAAAACGGTTGAATTGAAATAAGCCCGCGAATTTTAATCGTCTTGAAGTGGGTCCCACAAGCTCGTATCGCCACGTGGTGAATTATATTCCCGCCGGCACTATCTCCGGCGAGGAAACACCGGCTGACGTCAGCATTCGCCGAAAAAACTCCAATTTTCTCCCTCATCTCTTTATCGTCGAGGAGCTTCAAGACATCAAACCCGTCTTCATATTGCGCCGGCCAACGATGCTCCGGCGCAAGGCGGTAGCCGACGGAGATGACGACAGCGGAAACATCTCCGGCAATCTTCCGGCAAAAAGTGTTGTAAGGCATGGTGGAGGGAGCGAAGGAGACAAAGCCTCCGCCATGGAAGTAGACGATAACCGGAAGAGAAAGATTGGAGGGAGCATTGGCGGGAATAAAAATTCGAAACCAAAGATTACGGGAAGAGTCAATGGTATGATCATAGGAGGTGACACCGTTGACAGGGGTGGAAGAAGGTGGTGAGCGAATATCAGCGAGGTTTACGAGGAAGCGGTTGACGGTGCCGTCGGAGTGGTAGGCAAATTTGGTGATGAAAGAGTGGGCGGAGTATTGTAATTTGGTCATGAAAGAAAGGCCTTCACAAGTTGAAGTATTATCTTGTAGTTTATCTGCGCTCATGTTTATGTCAAGTTGAGTTTACTATTGTCTAAGAAAGATGTGGTGTAAGGATAAAACATGAAAAAAGGTAGTGTTGCAAATTTGCTAACTTACCTATTTATGAGGAAGTCATGATCTTGACGTTGAATCCCTCCAAAAATTAATAAATTTTAGATAAAAACATGATGGGTTGAAGATATTCAAATAATGCCAACCAATCAGGAAGGGTTTATCTCTCAATCAATTCATGTTGATTATATCACATTTTTAATGTAGAGTTGTAGTGACCTAAAAATAACCACTCCATATGTTCTACATGGGGGCCGCACCTAGTAGATTATAAAAGTAGGTAAAAGGAGAATGCGACAATAATGTGAGTCACTACAACAAAATAGCTGATTACCGATAACTTGTTACCGATGGCCACGGTAAACCAGCGGTAATTTTAAAATTTTGATAAATTTAATAGCCATCGAAAATTAACGATGGCTGAAAAACTTTGTCAGTGACCCAGGCCATCGGTAATTTACCCCGGCCATCAAATAGCTTTAAACTGTTGGTAAGAACGTCAGTAAATTATTTTATAAATATAAATAAAATATATGAATTTTAAAAAAGATATGTACTGATAGCTTTAAACCACCATTAATTTTTGACAAGTTTTTGCTTTTTCACCCTGTCTATTCACTAATTCTACAACTTCCTTCTTGTTACCAATCCCAAAATTTACAGATTTCCCTTTCTCTAACGTATCGAATCCTCGACTTCTGGATTAAAAATGACTACTAGAAATACAGATTGTTATGTATTCAAGTTGCCGATCAAAGGTTAAGCGTTCATGCAGCCAAGACCTCTTGAAGACTTGAAGATAAGAGTTTTTCAGTTTTGTTTTGTTTTCTTGTTTTGTAAGAGCAAATGAACTGAACTTTTCTTAGTCTGTAATTTTGTTGATTAAGCCTATGTTAAAAAAAAATTAAAAAAAAATGACAAGTTGCTTTGTGGTTAGTAGTCTTAGTACTCCATATTCTTTTGACAAGTTGGTTTAGCTAAATTTTACTGAACAAACAGAGCATTAATGCAGCAAGCAGTCGAACCTATAGGACCACCAATTCAGAGAGACAGAGACTAATGAAATGCTGATACGTGTTGCACAAAATAAATGCAACAATTAGAAACGAACTGAGTTTCTATTAATCAGGAGTATCGTCAAGCATACACAACTACACATTGATCGGTTGCTATAACACTGATTACGTACAGTATAACAGAGAACTTCCTGTATGTAAAAAATGGGCAGTTTATTTATTGGGGTTCCAACAAACACAAAAGGGGCAGTGACTTAGTGGAGAGCAACTATTAGTTTTGTAAGTTTTTTATTCTATAAAGAATGTCAAAATTTCTATACACAAGTATTTTGTAGCCCCGATTGCAGCAGCATGAACTTCTGAGTCAGACCAGAAGAGTAATGGCAAACTCAGCAAAAGAGAAGTAGAAATACCTCCAATCGACATTCCCGCAGTTTGAAATAATGAAGACAACGATGCAACAATCAGCAGGGAGGATTGTCCAACATAACCTCAAAGAATGATATTCTTCATGAGCAAAAGAATCAGCAGGAGCACCGACAACTCAAGCATTAATTTCGGCCTATTTCCATAATCAAGAATTTGCTTCCACCTGAAAGTCAACCAGTAGATAGCTGCTGATGAAGCCTGTTATCCATATCCAACATTTATATTATATATCAGAAGGGCATTAAGTAAATTAGCCTAGGAGACGTATTGTATGATTCTTCCCAATACATCATTAATCATTTAATGAACTAGATGGAAACATTGAGATCTTATTTTTATCAAGAGTTGCCTAAACAGCGAAAAAGAAGCTAAGAAAGAAAATGATTTTCAGAAAGGGAAGAAAAACATGTTAAAAAGCAGCTAAACTCCACAAGGGTCCTAAGGATAATTTTTCATGAATAAAGTGCAGTTTGATGGCAGCTGGTGTTACATACGTTTACTATAGCAAGAAGCTATCACAGCTGTTCATTGTGTCTGCAGGCAATTCATGTCTATAAAATCCCAAATATACCATCACGATGACTGCTGAAATAGAGCAGTCCCTAACTTGTAACAACTTGGTGTTGTATGTCTAAAGATATTCTGCATGAAGTTGCCGGACAACGCTTATCATGAAATGTAGGACTTCTAAATTTTGAGTACATGGACCTTGATAGTCTGCTTCAAAGATATTATTTCCTTTATTAAGGATGCACACAGCACAAAAGCCACATCAACAATAAAACTACCCCATCCTAAGAGGTAAAGGACCTTACTCTTTTGAGAGGCTTTTTTCCAATTGATATGAAGCAAATGTCTGTTAGTTAACATTAGTTAAGAAGCGCAGGCAATTTAAGATTGATGGACATGGTAAAGCAACAAAATAAACTAATGCTATATGGAAGGGCAGAGCCTAATAGTAGCCTCTCATGCAAGAGGCAACTACATATTTGCTATGGTGGTAAATATGAAATATGATCTGCACTAAATTACCATAATAGCATCAATGATTAACAGCTCAAGCCTCAAAGTGATGTCAGAGAGCAAAAATGTTTTTGTATGGCTCACCAACTTTCTTCGGAAGAAGGTTCTTCACGAGTAATTTCCTCCTCCTCAAACTCTTCCAGTATAGCTCTTTGGCGTTCATTTACCTTCCTATAAGAATAAAGAAAAATATACAAGCTACTAAGATCACTGTTAACACCAAACATGCACATTCCACAATTGGAAGAGCACTGATCAAAAGCAAATAAATTTCAACATAGCAAGTGATTAAGTCCATGTCAAAAAACATAAGATAAAAGGCATGATAAGGTACTACAATTTTGCTCGCAATTATTAATTCACAAGAAAACTCGGGCATTATGATATACTATGAGCTTAGCTTAATATGCATTGCATCACCATCCTTTTTTCAGAAGAGAGGAGAGACAGAGATGAAAACATGCCCCTTCAGATTTATGAAATGGAGATTTCAGAGCCTATTCCTTAGCTCCTAAATGCAGCCTTGGCAGTATGCCAGTATGGGGATTTATATATATACCAAAAACCATGAACAATTTATTATTTCTGCAATTTTTGTAACATAAATGTAAAATGTATAATTTATTTCAAGCACAGGTGAAAAGTAATCGAGTTCAACTTCAGCTCGAATCAAGTTTAAGTTGACGAGTTTCAAGTTGACGGGAACTCATTTCAAGTCAATTCAAACACAGCTCAACTTCTGACTGACTTGGTCAATTATCACCCCTACTGAATAACATCAGCAGAAAATTTTACCCTTAAGTTGTGATTCAATAACACACAAAATTCATAATATAGGTGGCCTTAAAAGAGCTAAGAGGCTTTTGCATAGCCACAGAAAAGGCCATATTATTAGTACAGTGAGTAACAGGTTCCCATTTAAGATAACCCCAGGGTACCAATGCAGGGATCAGAGGGGGCTAAGTTATCTTGCGGAAAGGATCAGGATAGACTTTTTTTTTCTTTTATATGTGTGGTTTCTAAAAATACGGAGATCGGCAGGACAACCAGGGCCTCTTTTATTAGAAAACAATGTAAAGTAATATAAATTATTGACAAGTTGTAGTGGTCGACACTACACAAGATATAGCCACTAAGCTGACAGCTCAAGTGCCACTTCAACAATCTACCAAGGAAGCCACTGGGGTTTGGTATTGGATGAAGGCAATTTCCCTGGTGGACCTTGCTGCCAGGAACAGGCTAGGCCTATGATTCTCCGGAACAGGTTAGTTGTGTGGGTTTAATGGCTTTATTTAATCAATATATTTGGAATCCCTCGACAATGGATTAGTTGTGAGGGTTAAAGTTCTTGTAACTTATCAACTGAACACAAGGAGCCAAAATTATAAAATTCAGAATAAATCAGAATTTGAGTAAGGAATGTGAAATCTTACTTAGGAAAGTTTATGCAGAAGCGAACATGTTGATCACCACGACTGACAAATAAACCATGCTTTGGCAGTCCTGCCACATAGATTATATTAATATGTTTCTGCTGATATCAAGTTAGTAAGAAAGGAAAACTAAATGGCTATGCAATTAGATAGTAAACACTATACAATTTACTCACCTTTCCCTCGAAGCACCAGAACCTGTCCAGGCTGAACTCCCTTGGGTATCTGAAAGAAACAGAAACTGGACAATAACACTTGAAAGATAGCTACAGGTATAAATTAATACTTGGATATTACATTAAGCATTACAATTAGTTGTCAATAAGAAAGAGATGAACAGAATTAAGTTACACGGCAAACAGTAACCAACCAGAGAGAAGGGAAAGGCAGACGATTAGTCCTTTTTTTTTTCCTTTTTTTTTTTTTGCATGTTCACGCATGTAGAGATAAGTTGCAATATGTTCTTTAAGGAGCTAAGGTGGTTCAAAAGAAAACTAAGGAAAACCATAGTATTCAATCAAATATGACCTGATCAAAAGGCAACAGTTCAATGAGAACCCAACAAAAAAATAAAAAAAAAAAGGGTCTGATCCAAATTCTAAACAAAAAAGCCAAAATCTAGAGAGGATTCCAATTTGCTACATGAGAGACCTACTTTTTTCTCCTAGTTACATGAATAGGTCATATAAGACTTAGCTCCATATGGATTTCTCTATCCATTTTCTACCTCCTCTATCCTATTCTTTAATACTCCACCCCAATTTCCAAAGAACTCATTTCCCAAAAGGATGATAACACCTCCAACTCAACCTACAACACGAAGAATGACAAAAGACTACAAAGTTAACCTGTCAACCCAATACTTCCAAGTTCCAATTAAATCCTATTTCCAGGCCAGTGCTGTCATACTCAAAATAAGTATTTGTAACAGTCAACAATCTTAGGTTTAGTTATTCAGTTGATTCAGAGTTAGTAAACTTCAATTCAAATCACATTCGAAGGACGAGATTTATATTCTATTCTGATTTAGATTAGGAAGGAGGTCCATCTTGTGTGATTAATCGAATTATAGTCGGACTCCATAAGATCCAAGCCGAATCCATCCATATCCACCCTTATGAGGACATATTACACAATCACTAAGCAACATGGCAAGTTTTTATTATGCATGTTGTGGACCAGGACAGAGAAAAGCTTTCCAATTATCAATCACCACAACATAGTACTTGTAATCTGAAGTAGCAATGTTGAATAGTGTTTCAATAAATGACAAAAACAGTGTTTTAAACCATGAAACAAATAATGATTAGCAAGGAAGCAGCTAATAAACACAAAGACACGCAAACAAAGGCAAAAAGGATGGGGACAGAAGGCGGGGAGAGGTTAGAAAGATAAACACAAATAGTTAAATGAGTTACAATGGAAGAGAATGTCTCACATCCAATGAAATTTTTCCTGCTAGAGTTGGCACCTCAACTTCACCACCAAGCATAGCCTGCAGGAATCAAACAGTCAGAGAAAACCCCTTGTTTTGAGTCCTTTGACAGGATCCAGAAGAACTTTTTAAAGGGTTTATATAGTCCAAATTACTACAAGTAAACAGTCGTTCAAGAAATTGAAATACAGCTCAAATCGAAACATTTAAAACACACATACAGCTTGCTTGATATTAATTACAAGTATAGGAAGTGATGAAAATTAGAGGGACTGGCATTAAATGTTGTGGTAAATCACTATGGAATATGCCACATGCTATGATAGAGAATACTACATTAATTACTAGTCTTAGAATTTAGGTAAAATTAAAGCAATTTGTTTATATTTTTTTTTTAATCAAAGATTATAGTCTATTTCTTTTCATTCAAATTATTATTTATATGGATGAACCCGATAGCAAGGTCTAAGAACAGAAACTTATTGAAAATGTTTTGTTTTTGGATATCTTTTCATTTAGAAAAGAAAAAAGGAAAGAAGATTTTAATCAATTCAAGTTACAAAAAGGTCGTACTAAAAATTAATGTCTGAAATAATGCATCTCCAGTTCTCTACTTGCAAACATGTATTTTCCTTCACTACTTACTGCTATCCCCATACGAGTGGTGACAGGAATTAATGAAGACATATATATATATATATATATATCAACTTTTCAAGTGGATATTTTTTACTTTGGACATGCACACGAGACATTTTGGATGATATTACACAAACTTTTTAATGTTTCCTCAAAATGTTACCCTCATAGCCAATGGACCTGTAAATGTGATGGATTTTGGTAAAAACAGAAATGTCACAGCAGTATTTACTGAACATATCAAGGTAACATTAAAAACTCAACTTCAGAAACAACAATATACCAAAGGAACTGTAACAGAAGCAGGTAAAAGCATCATTTAAAAGAAACGAAAAAAAGAAGACAACCAATAACAAAGTAATTAAACAATTACCTGTATAAAGCTTATAGTAGCATCCACATGAAGATCTGAACCATTTCTACTAAAATTAGGGTCATCTTCAACCTACATATGAAGAGAGAAATGGGGATGTTAAAAAAAGGCATTAAGGAAGCAATTAGAGGATCACATGTCAAGTCACCCTAAAAATATAGCACAGTTGCAGCAAAACAAGAAACTCAGGATAAGCAACATAACTAACATGTAGCAGCAGAAGAGGGGTGGGAGTGAATCATCACAATTAAGGAGTAGGAACTCAATTCAGAATCTATTCCTAAAGAATAGGTCATGGTTCTAATTTCAACCATCCCAAATTCATAGGCCACTTCCTAAATCAACCCATTAGACCATAATGATACATAGTGAAGAATATTTTTGGTGATATAACTCAGTTGTCTAAAACGAATGCCAATCAAATATGTTGTACTACTAGAGAAGGAAAGAGTATCAATCCTTCCTCTTCCTCCGTTCTTTTATAGTTGACACATTTTTTTTACCACGTTTTCCGTGCACAATTTTAACGATCAATATCTCTACTAATCAGTGAGTATAAATTCTAAAAAGGTGACATTACAAATGTATACAATAAAATGATTCTAACAAGATCCCACATGACAAAATTTTATTATAGTTGTACATCACAAAAGCTAATCAAAGCAGAACAGGTTATTAGTGTCAAAAGTCAAAATATGTCATTCAATAAGAACAGAGGAGTTATTAGTTTGCACACAGTACATGCTTTACACCTGCATTTTCACAAAACTCAGATAGCAGGATAGAAACTACTAAAAATACCTTTAATCTTATGTACAAATTTCCAGATGTTGCTCCTAGTCCCCCGGAGTTACCACCTTTAGGGATGTTGATAGTGTCACCAGAATCCACACCTATGCAATTAAACAAACCAAGGCATAAAGAAAATCAGTAGTTTCAGGGATAATGGCTAGAACCTGAACATTGGCAATAAATAGCAAAAAAAAAAAAAAAAACAAAATAGCCTAGATTTAAGCCCAAGTACAAGACCCTTCTCCCTACCCAACCACAATGCCCCCCCCCCCACCCAAAAAGTCCCCAAAAAAAAAAGAAAAAAAGAAATTCATTTTATCATAATAGTACGGAGTATAATATTCATGTATGTAGACCAAAAGTTTCACCAAAATCAATTTTCTTTTTTTACTAAAACTCGTGACGATTTGGAAGACCTGGAAGGAAATACACAAGTCAAGCTCATTTGTTAGTGGGACTATATTAACATGGCAGTACTTTCATACACTATTGTTAAAAAGAATTGATGAATACATACTTCCAAGAATGCATTACAAATTCGATAATCACGATTTCTAGAGCACTCGTCATAGCTTCCTAACTCTTAACTGAGAATAGAAAATGCATTTCAAATTCGATAATCACAATTTCTAGAGTACTCATCATAGCTTCCTAAATCCTAACTCTAAACTGAAAATAGTAAATTTTGTGCTTCATTTTGAGAAGCTCGATTCTAGATGTAGAGCTAAAACTTTCTTAAACAAAGGACTAAGAACTAGAACTCTATTACACGTATACTGGTAAGGAGTCTCTCCATTCTATTTCTAAAGATTGATCAGGAAAGAAGTACACAAGCAGTATTCATTACTAACCAGCTGGTATTGTAACGTTAACTTCCTTAACACCTTCAAGCACCCCATGTCCATAGCAATTCTCACATTTTTCCTGAAAAATAAATGTATACCCTGAAGTACTCAAATACAAAGAAAACATACTTCTTTCACTATGTGACATAAAAAGAATTATATTACTTACTGTAATAACTCTTCCTGACCCCTTACAAGAGCTGCAGGTTGATGAAAATGGAGGAATAGTTACCTGCTCAGAAATTATTTAATCAGCATATATTCTAATTTTGTAAGCACTAGACCAAATGCGGTAGAGCATCATAATGAGAAGAAAGAAAAAGGGTCATATTCATGGATCCAGATAAACTTACCCTCCCAATCCCACCACACGTAGGACAAATTCTAGCCTTCGCATCAATAGGATGGCCACGTCCATCTAAAGTAGTAAATAACAAGCCAAATCATGACAAAATCAACCTTGATACGTTCTAACTTCTAAAAGAAAATTTTGCATATATAAGTTAGTGTACAGAACAGTAAAATTAACAAAATCAGGTTATAAGAAGTTGCAAAATCCTTCTTTAAAATGAAGGCACAAACTAGAGCCTATAGTGCCAAGACTGCCAACTATCAATTTCATTATCAAAGTCATACCAAGATCCTGAGTTCCTGACCCAGCTTTCCTTATATTAGATTATAAGGAGATAAAGATAAAACCCCAAGACACTACATCAACAACTGCTTCCAGACCTTCGATTAAAGCAAAAGGAAATGATGCCAAATCTCAAAAAGATAAAATTTTCCCTTCTAAGAATTCCATCTCCAAACACATTACCTCAGGTTATTGGCTGTAGATAAGTCCTATTTCAGCCAAGAAGGGTTTTTCTGTGTGAATTTTAGTTATAAACAAAAAAATAAAAAGTGCATTCAGTATCAAAAGAACAGTAGAGGTTATTTAACTCACGGCAGGATTCACAGGGAATATATGCATCAAAAGACAGCTGCTTTGTGCAACCTTTTGCTGCCTCAGAAAATGAAAGTGAGAGCTCAACCTGAAAAGTTCCAAAAAGTTCAGCAATCATATTGTAAATGATAAGAGAAAATGAGAAACAGTATTCTTGACATTTGAACCTGAATATCATCCGCAAAATTTTCCACTTCATCTTGAAATATCTGCAACATGACACATTACTCAATGACTCAATCAATAATCCTTGAACAAGGCTTGATAATTGAAGAAATAATAGGTTCCAGTAATTCCAAACACACCACATATGCCCATACTCAAGAATAAGCACATACATACATATAGCTAAAGAAGATTTAAGAAATAGAACTGAGGCCACTAACTATACCTCAGAAAATATTTTATGGAATGAATCTGAGAAGTGGGTTTTATAAGCATGTCTAAACGCCTCGGCATCAGCAGAATCATAATGTACATTCTCTGGACCCCTGCCTCCAGAATTTTGCCTTGCATAGCCCGAACCTAAATTTAGGCTCTTGAGAGGGAAGAAAATAGACAATGTCGGTCATAAAAAATACACAGGGTTTCAATAATAATCACTATGATGTCTGCAAAAATTTTACTGCCAAGATAATCGATACTACGAATATTAAAATGACCAAAAGCATTAGATCACAATTTTACGAACACAGACTAAGTTAAAATGCTAAATAATGTCCTTGCTAATTTACCATATCATACTGTGCTCTTTTCTCAGTGTCTCTCAAAGTCTACAAGCATGCCACCATGGTGAAGAAGAAAGACCATTAGTTTACAGAATCCAATAAAGATGGACTTCATAATAGGTAAACTAAACAATGAAGATAGAGACCTCATAAGCATCTCTAATCTCTTGAAATTTTCTTTTTACGGAAGGATTGTTCTTATTTGTATCTGGATGGTACTTCTTTGCCATCTGCAGATTTTGTTAAGCAAAATTTAGACATTAAAAAATAATTAAATTTACAAATAAACAAATTAATAGCTACAATCAGGGGAAAGGGATCTTAATTAGAGGAAAATTAGAAAAATCCAGTCGAACCCCTAGAATTTATATACAGTATATCCAAATATCCAATCATGTAAAGTGGAAATTAGTATGGATATTGATATTGATATTTATATGTATTAATTTGTAAAGTATTTCTTGCAATTGATCCAAAACAGAAAAAATCTTCCAATATTCTCACAAAGCATTTCCTAGAAAGCCAGAATTATTATTTGTTTTCAGTCTGTTAAACAATTACAATTCAGCAAAACTCTTCAATACAATCAAAACATCACTGGTCACTCTAAACATCGGTAAAATCAAAGGCACAAATATTGCTCACACCATTCCCAAACATCCATATATGGTCAAATAGAACCAATCCCTAACATTTAACCAACAATCAACACAGATATACTCACCTCATGAAAAGCTTTTCTAATATCATCACGACCAGCATCTTTCGGAACCCCCAATATATCATAGTAATTCCGTTCACTCAACCGCAATGACCCTAGAGTGAACACAATCAACCCAAATAATCAATTTCTAAATCATATCATACAAGGAAAAAAAAAAAAAAAAAAACCCCAATAATACCACAAAATTTAATTAAATTTTCAGAACCTGTGGCATGAAAATAGCGCTTTGTCAATGGAACTGTATATACAGCTTCTCTAAATGGGTTCCCGTTAATCCCAGTTATATATCTATTACTGCAAAATCCTAAAATCAAGCAGTATTACAGAAAATCATCAATCAATCCTATAATAATTATACAGATAATAAAAAAGAAAACAAATTTGTGACCAATTACAGCTGAAATTAAAAATTAAAACAGAAATTAAGAGATAAAGGAATGATAATACACTTCTTCTATGAGCTAATAATGCTAGTCGACTTCCTTCAAATGAATTGCAATTGAATCCACGCGACTGCACATTATCAAATTGCATGAAGGAGCATAAAATTTAATCAAATTATAAAAATAAAACAAATTTAATTGATCACTTACATTGAAAATGCGGGTTAGGGATTTAGAGGCAAACCCAATTAGCTTAATTTTCCTCATTTTTGAAGATGAATTAAATGAACTAAACTACTAGAAATTCAAGAAAAATTATTATTCAAAAAAGTAGTTTATCTAGTAAGTTCTAGAGAGTAGTGAACATTTGGGATAAGGAAGAAAGGTGATTGAAAAGTGGAAAATGGTGAATTGAGGTTGTCAAAGAGACGACGAATTCTGGGCGCTTAACTTAGTTAGAGCTACTTGGCAATGGTAGAAGCTTGGAGATGAAGAAATGAATGAAATTCGAGTCTAGAGTTAATTCTCTCCTTGTCTTTAATTTTTTTTTCTTTTTTTAATTTTGGGGGGTTAGGGTTTAAAGGGTTTAACCTGTAGTAAAGAACAAAGATGGAGGAAGCTGGCTGAATGCCTGAGTCGAGTCGAACTAGTCCCTCGAAAAATGTCTCCTGCACCGTTGCACCCAACCCACAGTCCCACAGATTGACACGCGAGTATAGTAAGTTATATAGTAATAGAAACTTAGAAGATATAAGGTTTTATATAAGAAAATTAAATTATTAGCTTAGGTAATTAGGTTAGTACTCATATACGTTTGTCTTTAAATTTTTGACACACTTTGATCAGCATAATATTAAAATTTATTTGAGTTCATTTTACTTTAGGATAATTAGTATTCCGTAATCAACTTTTAAAATATATTTTTAGTGAGTAGTAGGTTTTTTTAAAATAAAATAAAATAATCACATAAATGTTTAGAACAATTAGATTTAATTTTACAATATATGTTATATACGAAGTATACTATAACAAAGTTATTTTGTTCGTTATGTATTGTTTTAAGATTAATACTCTGTACAAAGTATGCTACCAAAATGATTTTTCTTTAAAATTGATATTGATAATGTTATAATAATCTTGGAAAACAATATATTCCAATACCTTATTATTTTTTTAATCTATGTTAGTATTTTTGTAATTAAAAGTTTCCTAGTATACTATAACAAAGTTATTTTGTTCTTATAAACGTTATGTATTGTTTTAAGATTAATACTCCGTACAAAGTATGCTACCAAAATGATTTTTCTGTAAAATTGATATTGATATTTTTATAATAATCTTGAAAAACAATATATTCCAATACCTTATTATTTTTTTTTAATCTATGTTAGTATTTTTGTAATTAAAAGTTTCCTAGTATATATAGAATATATGTAAAAAATTTAATTGAGTAATATTGGATTAAATATGTTGTCAAAATGGAAATGACTATTATTATAGGTTATAAAATATATAGATGTCATTAAAATATGGCAAAAAAAAATTAAAAGGGAAAGGGAAAAAAAAGGCGGAAAATTTTTTAACCAGGAAATGACAAGTGTCATTCCTGGTTTCGCCTTTAGTATAAGCTTATTGATTGATTCATACTTTTAGGATTTAGGGACGGAGGGAGTAGTAATCAACATCATAATTGGACGGAGGGAGTAATAATCAACATCATGAATTTCTACCTTTGTCTGAATTAGTATATAGTACATGCCAATAAATTGATTAGCAAATGTGTAAAGTTATTATGGTTTTTTGAGCCAACATTCACTTGTTCACACATCTCCAATGGAAAAAAATAAAGAGCCAAGAGATGCTTCGGTTAGTGGCTTCAATCAACCCATCAATGTATTAAGGCACAAAACCAAACACTCCTGTGGAGCGCGAGTCAAATCAGAACCACTGAACCACCAACAATTGACTCAAAGGAGAGTATGAAAAATTAAATACCACAGTAGAGCTGTGGGATTGGTGATCACTATTCCAAAGGTCTAGGTCTAGGTCTACCCCATGGATTCCATTCTTGACAAATATGAAATAGAATGTAATGAAGCTCTTGTTTCTGTCCAAGCTATATCAGACACTAGTTTTCTAACAATTGTCATTGCTCAGCAGCAGCATAAATCAAAAGCTTTCTATTCATTTTGAAAGTTACAGAAATCTATTGTCTCTACAATGGCAAGACAAACTGAAAACAAATAATAAATACTAGTGAAGTACCTTAACTAGCTTCTGTAAGCATCAGTTCGATGTGATCTGTCAATTAACATACAATTTGGAGCCTTCGCAACTAACTTATTCCTATATGGCTCACACTCTACCTGCCATTATCAATATTACAATTAACTAATCTATTGCCTTCAATGGAGAATATCTGGCTCAACCACTAATTAGTAGCAGAATACAGTAATACAAAATTTGGAGATACAGGCATTAAAATTGAAATCCCCCTTGTGTGGCAACCAGAAATTGTCATTTCGTGAAACCTTCTATCTTATCCAGCAGAAGGTGAGAAAAAGGTAAAGGTAATGACTTCAAGCCTCTAAGAAACTCAACGTCCCTGATGTAACTTTCAGTCACAAAGCAATGATGTCTGGCATTCCAAATGAGAACCTTCACTTGAGAGATGCCAACGCCGATGAGACATTTTGAGAGATTCTGTCATGAATTGGAATCTGCACATAGGTAAGAGACGTCAATTTTTTTTCAAATCCTAGGTACACAAGAATACAACACTGTGAAGTACCTCTGTTTTTGGAATATCAAATTTGGAGCCTGTTATTGTCTCATATAAATATATATATCTGCAGTAAAATGAAAAAACACAATTGATTAAATTCTGATAAACACAAGAGTACAGTTGGAACCACAGTCAAGAACCAAACCAATGCTTATCTTTCAAAAAAAAAAAACATTATACAAAGATAACAAACTCCGTGCCTCACCAACAAAAATCCTACCTAAGCAGCACATTTAGCAATACACTTGATTTTACTAATGCACAGCCCTTTAATTACTTACTTCAAACAACTGAAGAGAGAGCTGAGAATTTCAAGGGATGGAACAACCAACAAAGGCTAAGAATATATACGGAATATACCTAAAGCCTACTGCACTCATTGTAGTAAAGGTTCATTCTATTGACATTATCACACTAAGGGGGTGTTTGGTATAGTAATTTTAGATGTAGGAAACGGATTCAATCAAGCGTTTCCAATTCTAGTTGTTTGGTATGTGTTAAAAGTAACAAATACCCTTTCCTAAGGGTAACAAAATCCCCCAATTTGTTACCCTTGACAAACTAGTGGAAACAAACTACGTTTCCTTACTGAATCACTAACTACTCAAATTGTTTCCATTCTACTACCAAACATATACTAAAGGTAACGTTTATCATTACCCTTTCCCCTACTTTTTTGAATCCTTTCCGTTTCATTTACAATATTTATACCAAACACCTCCCAAGGCATCCTTAGAAACCAACAGGAAAACCATATTAGAGTGAAAGGAATATTTTAAGGCTGAGTTAGATCTGGTAAGATTGAACCAGGAACACTTTGAACGTCTTTGAATGAAAGGGTGAAATTGTCCTGCCAAATGATTGTCAGTGTGACAGTAATGAAGAAAACTATGACCACAGTAAAACCAAAGCCAATGTAGAGGAAGAAGAAGAAAAGGAGCAGAAACTAGTATTAGTGGTCATTTGGTTAGAATAAATATAAATACAGGAGAAAGGAACTCCTTGAGGTGTAGAAAACAAAACTCAGTGAGTAGCATATTCTGAAAAGTTCTACTTCCCATAAGATAGGGGCACTAGTTACCTAGTCCCCCTAGGCAGGTGGCTCTTTCTACGACCAACCGCACAATTTTCTAGATTTTCCAAAAAGTGAAACTCCCTGAAATTTGCTAATTTGTGGGAAACGCAAATGTCATGGACTGGATGTCTGAAGATGGAAGCTAAGGGTAGAAGATGGTGGTTGGTGATAACAATCTGGAATCCGTTGCAGGAAGATCAGATTAAGAAGAGAGAGGTTTGTAAAAAGGATAACAGATTGCAATAGTGATGCAATTAAATTATACACTAAAGGGCTGAAAATCCAGCCAAGTGGCTTTACACTCCAAAACTACAAGCTAAGACAATACAAAATAAACTACTCAATTATCTGGTTATTGCTCCCACTGCCTCTATATACAATTATAATGTATCCTTTCTCCCACTCTTTATTCTAATTATTTCCCAAGTAGTTCCCCAAGCTACCTCATAACAGAATAATATTGACAAAATTGCCCCTCTTTCTAGGGCAGCCTATCACAACAACTCCCTACATAAAGCCAACGTACAACTTTAATGCAAAAAAATGTCATCCTAACCTCAGCAAGACCTTAAGCTACATCATTTGTACATACCAATCATCACACAGGGAGAGCCTAAAAGAGATTCATAATGACTTCCCCCCCCCCCTAACACACACACACACACACACACACATCTAATTTTGATATGAGGCTAAGAGAGATATAAAACATACCGCGAAGCTAGCTCACAAACAAGTTCTTTAGGAGCATCCGGAAGAACCTAAAAAGTGAAAGACACATTTGTATCAGCATATAATATCAAATATTTAAAGATAAGTGAGCACACATATAACTCTTAACTAGAGCTGCCAAAATGACTCACCTCATCTTCATATGGGTTACAATGATCTTTGAACCACAATCTCAAAAACTCCTGGAAAACCAAACCAAACAAACATGATTATCAAATATTCAAATTGTACTCCAGAAAATCAGGCCAGCACATAGAGTATATAGTGGATGATGGATGGGTAAACACTTTCTTCACCCAAAAGAACAATGACAGCTGCAAATGTCAAACTTTGATACCTTATCAACATTTTCAGGTTCAAGACCATTACGGAAACGTTCCTCGTAAGATTTCGCAATCCAGTATCTACTAGAATCAGGTGTATGCACCTAGAAAAAATAGGCAGATGAATAGAAACTGAGTAAGCTATCTCCTGTGATTATCAGTACATTGTAGGGGCAAATGCTGGAAGCTTTAATGACTAAATACTGACCTCGTCAACTAGAACAACTGTGCCATCACTTGTCTTCCCAAACTCATACTTAGTATCCACCAAAATCAAACCATGTTCCCATGCCACACGCTGAAATAAAAAATATGACAATTTAAAAAATCAAATCATTTGTACTACCCAGCTAAACAATCAAAGTTCTGAATGAGCTTGACTTTTCGAAGTTGTGAACTAGCAAGTGTCTAAGAAACTATAGACAATTCATCAACAAAAGTCAGATGTAGAATGACCTGTCCATACTCAAATAAATTCAGTGCTTTCTCTCTAACTTCATCAAAATCAGCTTTCGTCATTAGCCCACGTTCTATTATCTGCAAAATCAACAAATTTGCAACAAAACTACCATAAAAACCAAAAGTTTGGAATTCAATACAGGAAAATTTATTCAAGAAATACTATTTCATTGTATAATACCTCAAACAACAATAGCTTCAATGAAAAAAAGATTTACTGTTATAGTTATTTCATGTCCCGCAAAATAAAAGAAACGAAGTAGGAGAAGAAATTAAGGTCACAAAGAAGGTAAAGGACTATAGAGCATGGATGAAAGGCCTACATGCAAATATCCAAGCAATACTCTTGGGGCTTAAGAATTAAGGATAGCAACATACAAATAGTAACGGAAAAAAAATAATAAAAATAAAAAAAAAAATAAAAAAAAATTGGAAAATGCTGCATTACCTCATCTGGAGTAACAGGAACATCATGATCAGCCGCTTTAGTTGTTGGTGTAAGTATGTTTCTCTCTAAGCGCTGATTTTTTACCAGACCTACCAGATGATAGCATGAGTTTCTAGAGAAATAAATTACCAATTTATACTTAAGTGCTTAAGTGAAGCTAACCATCTGGCAGAGCATTCCCGCAGTAATTTCGAACACCATTATTGTAGACTGTCCACAATGATGTATCAGTGCTTCCAGTAACAAATCCTCTCACTGTAAAGAAGCATCAAACAGCACAGAGTCCACGTATTAAGGCATGAACATATGCAATTTATACCAAAACTTGAAAGAAGTTGAATATCACAGTACAGCTTACCAACAAATTCAACAGGGAAAATGGTACATTTTTTGGCTATTGTGACATTCTTATCAGGAACTGACAATACCGCATTTGGAGTGATATGATGAGTTTGGTCAAACCACCATAAACTTGTCTCATTTAATACCTGAAACAAGGAATTTGACCTCATATTACACTTGCAAACACCCATTACTCTCACTCATCAACTAAATACCAAAGTAATAAATAGTTAAATACCTGTCCTTTGAATGGGATTGAAGCTAGAACTCTGTCAAATGCACTTTGCCTGTCTGTAGTAACCAGAACAAGAAAATCACCTCCATCATATATGTCTCGAACCTACAGAGAGCTTATTCTGTCAGCAACTACTAGACCAAAGCAAAGAGCTCTTGATATTCAACATATCCAAGAGCTAGATGACATTAACTATTCACCTCAGCTATCCGATCAATACTATTGATTAGAAGTTCAGATTTTTCCGAACAAAAATAAACCCAAGTCTTGTGCACCCAACAATCAAAGACAGAGACCACATATGTAGGTCTTTTCACCAAACATTGAGACATATATTAATTGATCAGTCTTGTGTTTGAAATAAAATAGAAATGCCCACTATTTTCCACAAAAACTATAAAACCTCCAGGTAGCAGCAGAAATTGTGAACTTATTATCTCTAGTATTTGAAAACTCCATAATCAATCAATCAAAGCCTTAATCCCATAAGTGGGGTCGGCTACCACAAACCAAAAGTGATTATTCCGTGTAATCAAAATTTGACAAAGATCATAATTTTATTATTCGAACAGAAACATTTTAAATTAACTTAATATAAGCAGCAGAGAAAAAAGGAATTGAAGAGTTTTATACCTTGCCCCGGGTTTTAGACTTAAGGCCAGGAACAGTGAGATGAAGGTTGGTCTCAGAAAGACAATTGGTGAGAGACCCTTCAATAGCTAGCAAAACCTCTAAATTGGCATTACCCTGATTCAAAACATCAATTGACGAATCGGGTCGAGGATGATTTGGGGTTGACATGGTTGAAGAAGCATAAATTCCTTTGAATTTTCTCCTCAATTTGAATCCATTTTGACCGTAATTGCAATGGAAACTGTGATTTGGGGAAGAAAGAGGTGAAAAGTTTGTTTCTTTGAAAAGGGTTTTAGTAGGGTTTAAGCATCCAACACAATCCACCATTATTTCTCTGCAAACAACACAGTCAATTTTATGAATTCATGCATTTCTTCAACAAATAAGGTGAATTAAGATGTTAAATTAGAAGAATGAAACCCTAACATAAGATAAATTTGATTGAAATTGAGTTTTCGGAAGAAAATAAACATACGGGGAAAGGGGGTATGATCTAGTCGTTGCACTACGCTGCCGCTCGCCGGAGTTTAGTCGTCTTCCGGCGAACCCCGGCCGTTGTCTCTTGGCCGCTGAGGAGAAGGGAGGGGAGAGTAGCGTAAGGAAGTTCAGAATCTTGCTCAGCCAAACCAAAAAGAAAATGGGAAACCACAAAAATAAAATCATTTCATACTACGGCTATCTATCATTTCATACTATTGGATGGGGAGTAAAACATAATCACCCAAAATTGACCCTTTAATTCGGATTAACCCTAAGATTGAACCAAGTTGAAGTGTTGAACACCAAAAAAATCTATCAGTTATTACTCAATCTTATTTTTACAAAAATGAAATTAATTTTATTGAAATTTTTTTACGAATTTGAAATTAATTATGCTGTAGTAAAATTAATTTTACTGAATTAAAATTATTTTTATTGAATTTAAACGTTTATGGATTATTTGTTGCATTTTTATGAATTGAATTTTTTTTTTTAAGAACTTATTTTTACAAAACCATTTTTTTTTTTTGCTAAATTGAAATTGGACTAAATTTTTTACTAAATATTACAGAGTATTATCATAAGGTGAAGTGAACAAGGCCCATGTTATATATTGAATATATTTGTTACCATAATATCGATCCATTAAAATATCGTTCCATTAGTTAAGATTAGTCTTTATGAATATATATTAACGGTCAAATTTAGACACATGTACCAATTAAATGCGATTATTATGAAATGAAATGAGTATACTCCTCGGTTATATATTACTCCAAACATATGACGAAATACTTCCCCTAATATTGATCAATTGAGATTTAGAAGGAGAAACCGTTGTGTGAAGTCGATATTATTGTTAGATACCTAATAACTTCATGTATTCGTCGTTATTTCTGTTAACCTTCCAACTCATTATTAATTCTATTTTTTTAACAAAAATAAAAAATAAAACAAAATAAAACAAAATAAAACAAAACAACATAAAGAATAAATATATATTTTTAAAGTAAAGTCATATATAATTTGTGAAAAAATACATTAAAGACTTCTTCTCTCAACTTATTTCAAATACTTAATACATTTGTTGTCGAGATAAAATCTGATCAGATTAGACCAGACCAGAATATGTAGATAATACCATGTTAAAACTTTTAATCCTCGTTTACTTATCATTGCTTATTTGAAATTACGCATTACATTTTTTTTAATGAAAATTACAAATTTGAAAAGTATACAACAAGACGAAAATAACAAGATCCAATTAGTTTATGTTTATTCTTATATATCAGTGTGAAAATCCGATCAAATTTAAGTCAAATTAATATATCAGATATTCAGATCAAACTAAAGTAGAAAAAATTAGATAATAATTTGTATAATGTTTAATTAAGACTTATTCTTATTTTCACTTATTTAGAAAACTCAATTTATTATTCAACAAATTTTATTTCTTTATTCAACGCGTTTTGTGTGCAATTGGTCACACCACGTGGCCGCTTGTAAGAAAACAAAGTTTCCCTTATAACACTATCGAGTAACCTCTGTTAGCTCTACAATACTAACGAAGTAACCCCTGCACGCAATAGTGATCGAGTAACCCTGTAAGGATATAACACTAACGAAGTAACCCCATAATGAATGACCACACAGTGTGATTAGCCACATAAAATAATTTTTTCACTCCCCTTTCTCCTTGGCTTATACTATAGTAGAAATACACTCCTCAAAGATTAAACATAATTTTTTTTCTATCCCCTTTCTCCTCGGCTTATACTATAGTAGAAATAAACTCCTCAAAGATTAACCTATATATAACGGCGGATAACGCTAAAATTTGATCAAATCATACAATTCGTTTTAGAATAACAAGGTTTAGACTTTAGATCAAAAGAAAAAATAATGTGAATTAAGGTTACAAGCTAAGCGATACACGAAAATTCGTGTGTGGATATATCATACTCGATTCTTTGTTTTTTCTTTTAAAGGGGAAGGTTTTTTTTTTTTTTTCTTTTCTTTTTAGATGGTACTAGTTTTTTTTTTTTTTTGTTTAGAGGGTAGTTTTTTTTTTTATTTGAATAGGATTTTTTTTGTAAATAACCACCCCAAAATTTACCCTGTATTGAATTTACCACCCATTTTTTTCGAAATTAAAAATTACCACCCATTAATGTCAAAACCAGTAGATTTTACCACCCTTTTTCAATTTTGGCCAGTTTTCCGACTAGTTCAGCCAGTTTTTCGACTTAGGGCCCACAAAATATAAAGTCAAAATTATATTATAAAAAAAGAAAAAAAAACTCACCACTACCACCTCTGGAAGGCGGCATCTCTGCCACCTCCAACACCCCTCCCCTTCCCCGTTTCCATTTTTCGGCATCCATAATTCCTGCAATTTCCTCCACTCCTCAATCTCACCACCATCACAACCCACCTCTTAATCTCTTATATAGTTCTATCCATAGTTACCATTGTCAACCCATATTCTAGAATTATCAGCCAACTCTCTAAATCTCCTCCTCTTCAATTAATTACAAGCTACTCACTTGAAAATTTTATAAGTTTGTACATGCTTTAAATCCATTGTTGGTTGAATTAATTCAACAATCTTATCAAGCCAACAAATCAAAACCATAAAAACAAAAAATTAAATTAAAAAATAAATTGAAGAGTGCAATCAACCTTGGAATGAGTAGAGGAAGCGGCAACGTGAAGGTTTCGTGAAAAAGCGGCAACGTGAGGGTTTCATGAGAAAACGGCGATATGGGCAGGGGTATGTTGAGAAAGTGACGAAGTGGGTGGGGTTTGGTGGTGAAGAGGCAGTGTGGGCAGGGGTTAGGGGTGGAGGCTAGGAGGGGCTTGGTAAGGTTCGCCGATAGGAGTGGTGGTTGGTTTGGGTGAGGGTGGTGTGTCAGGTCGTTGATTTGGGTGGAGTGGCAGGAGATGGGAGAGCTGCCAAGGGCTGGGTTAAGGGGATTTTTTTTTAATTTTGATTTTTTTTTGAGCAATTATGTGGTGACAGTGTACCCTAAGTTAGAAAATTGGCCGGAATTGGAAAAGGGTGGTCAAATCTACATGTTTTGACATTAATGGGTGGTAAATTCAATAAAGGGTACATTTTGGGGTGGTTATTTACAAAAAAATCCTTTAAAGAATTGTAGCTTTTAAAAAGTAAAAAGATAAAATTGAGAAGATATTTTAAAAAAGTGAAATTTATCGCCCAAAATCCCGTTTCACATAGGATATTCAATTCAACTTGATTTCTGATTGTCTAAAAAATTGCCAAACTTTTGTGTAATTTTTTTTTTATTTTTTTATTTTTTTTATACGAAGTATACAGTTGTATATGCTCGTACTTCGTACAAGCATATCCTTATTCTTGGTAACTTTTTTGGTTAAATTTCACATTCCATACCAAAAATTTATTCCCAAATCTAACCTCCGCGCAACTTTACTCTGCTGTCCCCGCATCTTCACGTAATCTCTCACCAAATATCTCCCCTTTTTCTTCGTTCCTATTTCTTCAATCTTCCGTTTCTACAAACCCTCAATTTCTGATTTCCACCGCATTGATCCGCAGGTTTGTGCTTTTCTTGCCCTAGAAATCGATTTTCATTATTGGGTTTTTGCCGAAATTAGGGTTGATTGATTGGTTTATTCTTAATTCGATTCTAGATATATAAGTTTGGATTTTTATGGCAATGTTGTTGTTGTTGTTAGAATTCGAACAATTATGATGAATAAGAAGAAAAGAAAAGGAAGTGGAATTGATGATGATGATTGTGAAAACCTAATTAAGACCCCAATTAATCCGTTGCAATTGAATAATGAAGATAGAGGGTCGATTATTAGGGCACATTTATCGCTTGAAGGTTGTTCTAGGTTGAAGAAGAAGTGTAAAGAAGATGTGGGTAGTAATAATGTTTTTGATGGATCATCATGTGTTAGGAATAGAATTGTTGGGGTTTCGACTGTGCCCCCTTCGATTGGGTTGTCGTATGTCGAACCGAGTAGGGGTTTGAAGAGGAAGATTGGGTGTATTGATGTTGCTACACAAATTGGTAGTAGGAAGAATAAACTTGAGGATGATTATGTTATGATCAAGACTATAGGGCAGGGGAAATTCGGGTCGGTTTGGTTGTGTAGGTGTAAGGCCACTGGGCGTGAATATGCCTGTAAAACCTTGAAGAAAGGCGAAGAGACGGTGCATAGGGAAGTCGAGATAATGCAGCATTTATCAGGGCATCCTGGGGTTGTGATGTTGAATGCAGTGTATGAGGATTCTGATTGTTTTCATCTTGTGATGGAGTTGTGTTCTGGTGGGAGATTGGTTGATGAGATGAAGGAGAATAGGTGCTCGGAACAACGAGCTGCGCATATATTGAAGGAATTGATGCTTGTGATCAAGTACTGTCATGAGATGGGAGTTGTGCATAGAGATATAAAGCCGGAGAATATATTGCTTACAAGTTCAGGGAAGATGAAACTTGCTGATTTTGGCTTGGCTGTCAGAGTTGCTACTGGTAAATCTCTTAAAACTTGGAATTTTTTGCCGTTCAATATCATTAATCATGTATGTTATTTGTTAATTTGTTATCTTGATGATACATTCTGGTGCTTTCCCGTTGTTTTCTGCTATTGAATTTGAATGTTACAGGAAAAATAAGGTGTGCGATTTGAAATATGCGATCTTGAATATTGAAAAGGGTTAGATGTTGTAAGCTTGTGTACGATTTGAAGTATGTGCTTGGCAAGTAATAACTCATGTTGCCTGCACCCTGCGTAATGTGCTTTTGTGAACAATACTTGCATGACTTTTTAAACGATTATACCTATTGAAATTAGTAGCATGGAGCAATGCAATCATAACAATGCTGGCTGTAGATTGTCATTAATGTATCCAATTTGGGAGTTCAGTATCTGTAGATGGATTTTTGCTTCCCTAACTCTCTCTTAGACTCTTATCAGATGTTTGCTGCAAAATGTATTGCCTGTGGACTTGTCATTCGTTTGATTCGTCCATTGTGCAGTGTCCAAAATAACTGACTTGCCAATTGTTATTTGCTTTATACTTGCTAGGTTTTTAAAACTTGTGTTTCATCTGCAAATGCACACTGCATGCAATATCTGTTCATTTTGTTATGTGTGTTTTTTTTTCATGAGACATGGAGTATATGTGTATGATATTTTTGGGTGAATGGCACATAATTATCACTGCTGGAAAATAGTTGTGCGGAAGTAGTAGTGGGCTATTTTATATCTGGAGAGGAAATGTTACAAAATGGCGTTGATGGTAAACTACTTGAGTGGAACTTGATTATCCTGTATTCATTACATTGCTTCATATTAGATCATGTACTTATGTCGGGTGCATGCATTACCAACTTACAATAATTTTTACAATGTTTCTTGATTAATTTAGATAGTCCGATATTAATATACTAGATTTTCCCTTAGTTGATTTCTTGATACATTTGATACTAGATATATATACTAGATTTTTCTAGATACTTTGATTACATGATTTTTCTAGTTATTTTATACTACGTATTAGATATTTTCTTAAGGATAATCCAGGTCAGTCACTATCTTTTAAGCTGCAGTGTTTTGGTTCTGTGTGATGGTTTCTTTATTCTTTAGGTGTTGTGGATGCTATGCGTACTTTAGTCTCTTGAAATTTTGGCTTGTATTCATTTTGTGTATGTGAACAGGTCAGAGCTTGACTGGAGTAGCTGGAAGTCCGGCCTATGTTGCACCTGAAGTACTCTCCGGAGCTTACCGGGAGAAAGTGGATATCTGGAGTGCTGGTATTCTCCTTCATGCCCTTTTGACAGGCTCTCTTCCATTCCAAGGGAAGTCAATAGAAACGGTTTTTGAGGCAATCAAGAATAATAAATTAGATTTCCACTCTGGTGAATGGCTTTCAGTTTCCAAACTTGCACGAGATTTAGTTGTGAAAATGCTTAAGAGGGATGTTTCAGAAAGGATTTCAGCTGATGAAGTTCTTGGTAAGTGTTTTTTTTTTTTTTTTTTTTTTTTATTTTTTATTATTACTTATCTGTAAGCTCTTTTCAACAAACAAAGTTCTTGTTAATCTAATTGTGGGTGGGAGAAACTATCATAGGAAGTATGACAAGTTTTTTTCTTTTTTTTTTTTTTGACAAATAAGCTAATACGAGTAACAATAGTTTATATAATTTCGGATGGAAGAGTACTCTAATACAAGTATATGTTTTCCTTGATTTGTATTTTTCAGGGCATCCATTTATAATGTTCTATACGGAGAGGACATTAAAATCGCTTTCCATCAAGCCTAATTCAAGAAATGTATCAGTGACTCCTTCCCACCAATCAGACAAAACCTCGTTGGCTGAATCTCACAAACTCCTGCCTAGCTCTTGCCCATCAAATGAGAATTTAGATCCGGCTGTAACAACCAGGCATCTCGTTGCTTGTGATACTGACAAGCAAGATGACTGTGGTCTAATGGATGTACTTGTAGTAGCAATCTCACAAGTTAGGATTTCAGAACCGAAAAGAAGTAGGCTGTGCTTCTCCGAAAGCAGCTCAGTCCAACTGCAGTATTCTTCTAACAGCCTCTGTAAAGCATTCTAATTTAGTTGGCTGACATAGCTAACATTATTTTTCTCCTCTTAATATTGGATAGGGTGGTTGTAATTAGCTTTATGGAAGCTGTAGCATCAACTTAATGTCTCTAATCAACCTAATTGGCTCTGTGTAGTGAGCTCACTATCATTGTAATCCAAACAGTACACTTGATCATGTATATAAATCACTTGAATATGTTCATTGCAATCACCATACGTTAATACACGAACTCTATTGTAGTATTGTGAAGCCACAGTAATGGTGAATTCGCATCCCTTGTTAGTTATTACTACTGAGACAAATGACTGGATCGTAAAGTGACTGATTTATGTTCTTACTCTCTCGGTTCCTATTTGATGGTCATGTTTGGAATGTTTTTGTCGGAGAAAAGCATAACCACCAAAAAGGAGCGATAGAATACTACTCTTATTTGCGTATGATTTTGCTCTACCCTCTTCTCTTCATACGAGTCCTTTTATTTTCTTCATCTCTCCCCTCAATCCTTGATCGTATGGGCTTCACAAAATCTGCAAACTGCCTATGTATTGCTATATTAATGCTTTAGCAAAGCTTCTCTGATTATAACCTTATTTCCTTGATTTGGCTAAACAATAATACACCTCAACGTCCGTAAATACTGCATCAATTTGCTGTAGTCTTAATAAAATAGTCAGTAATGAATTAACGATGATTATTGAGCAAAACATGAGCATAACAAACTTGAATTGGGCCATACAAATATACAATACTATAGCAGTGATGTATGTTAGGGCGTTAGGCCTAGTTAATTTTTGTTGGCATGTGCTCATAGTTTATTAGATTTATTATTCTGTTTAATTTTATGAGGCGGCCCAGGTTACTTGAGCCGTTTATAACAGGGCATTTGCGTCCATTCAGCTTCAAAAGTAAGGGTTAAAATGTCCAATGCAAAATTGATACTTAACTGCTGTTATGTTTGCCGTTAACTTGCTTTGCTTAACCATAGTTACTTGCTGTCACACCTACCCAAACACATCAGACTTTAACGACATGTGTCTTCTTCTTCAACATTCCATTGCAAGTACCCACCATTGTACCATGAAACACGAGCAACTTTAACAACAAGGAGGCAAACTTTGAAGCAAGCACCACAATCAGCACCTCCTTTGAAAAGGGAAGGAAGGCCAGAAGCAAGTAGTTTGTCATTGAAATTCCAAGCTAAAGGTCCATAACCACAACTAACATACACCAACCTTAAGTCCTTAACCCATCTTTCCGGTGGAGAGGAAACTCAAAGGCCTTCAATGGCGGGGAGAGAGAAAACTCAAGGCTGCTTCAATGGAGTACTGTGGCAGTTGCAAGGAGAGAGAAATGTGATTTTAGAGGTAGTAAATCTTAACTCAAGTATAATTACCGTGCATTAACGGACGTGGTATGTTGTTGTTAGTATTATTTATTATTATTTATTGGCTACGCACAGACTCCAATGTAATTTAATTACAAGAATGCCATGTGCTAAACTTGGTTAATTATAAACTTGTATTTTCTCTAATTTTATATACTCTTTACTAAAATTAATCCATTGATTCCAAATTCATTTATGGAGTTAACATTAACAATGAAAAATAAAGTTTATCAGAATATATTCAATAACATGAATATAATATAAGTGAAACTAAGGTGAACTAATCATGATCGTACTGTGATAAGACCTATTAGTTGGACCAATTTAGCAATAAGAATTCCCTTTACCTCAAACTAACATACAACAATTAGGAATTCAGGACTGTAACTTTGCTTTTATTTCTGGTATAAAAGTAGAATACTATTGTAGATTAGTGAAGGCTCTGTTCTCATTGACTGAAATGAGCTGAGCTGAACTGAACTTATTAGAGCTGAACTGAACTAAACTTAAATTAATATTTTATAAGAGAAGGAAATTAGGAGCTGAACTGGACCAAACTAGACTTATTAGAGCTGAACTGAACTGAATTGAACTAAACTGAAATGAATATTTTATAAGAGAAGGAAATTAGGAGCTAAACTGAACTGAACCAAACTGAACTTATTAGAGCTAAACTGAAGTGAAAATAATCGTATGAGTATAGGCCCTTCCTCCGTTCATTTTTACTTGACTCGCTTTGACTTTTACACTATTCATCACCCCTCCGTTCCTTTGACCATCTTTTTGAATAATATATAAAGAAAAATATATTCATGTTGGATCTTTTTTCAATTCATCTTTATAAATATTATCATAATACATAACCTTTATAATTTTTATTTATGGATAATTAAAGTTATTAATCACTAAAGTTTTACATTGACAAACATGATAAAAGAAACAGGTCAGATAAAAAAAAACATAGAAAGTATAGGATAACGAAGTAATAATATATGTAAGCAAGTCTATGCAATAAGACGGAGTAAGACACTAGGAGATTAGGACATGGATGGTAATAATCAAACTTCTATCTATTTTGACTGGATCTTAAGAATACAAAACAATTGATCGTTAAGAATCTGTTTCACATTGATCTATAAAACTAATGATTAATAATAATTTTTCTAATTTCATACATAATAATTAATAACATTATTACCAAATGAAGAAAATCAAAAAGCACATGTATATTTCAAATTATATGGTAGGCGGAAAACAAAAAATGTACGGTACATATATGTCTGGGGAGATATTTACATTAGACCGATATTATATGGTAGGCCGGTATCTTAATCTGATTCGGTTCATTAGCTGTACTTGTTCATAACGGTAGTTATGGAATAAGTATACATATCGGCTTGTCGGCGACTGACACGTGTCGTCTGCAACTTGACACTTGGCGAAAACTACTTTGCATACTGTGCAGCCAACTGTCACTTAATCAAGCTATAAATAATCGAGCTTTACCTCATAATTAAGGTAGCATTTATTACACACTCTCTCTCTCTTTCTCTATATTCTCTCTCCTCTTCTTATCTTCTTTAAACACTTTATGACTTTGTCATCGGAGTGGTTATTCCCAAATTCACCCCGGAGTTAGCTAATCTCTGCTTTGTGTGTAGGTTCTCGTCTGACAGATAGGAGCAAAGCGGGTTATATACTCGAGCTTTGGATCTCAGAGTCGGGTCATCGGATCCTTGCAGGAACAATATAGTCAATACTCAATACGCAGTACATTATTTGGATCATTTACATCCTCATCGATCCTTTGTATGATTCTAGTTTGGTACGGTGGCCTTCTAAATTGATCGAATGTATGTACAAGTTTAAGTCTTCATTGGCGAGCTTTCAAGAATTTGAAAATCGAATATGTCACGTGGTACAATATCTACGTCCAGCTGCCAAAGTATAAAATAACACTTTTCCTACAAATACTAATTAATATTCTCCGCTTATTTAGCGTGCTTGTTTGGTTTGAATTAAATAACGTGTTATTATTATTTGGTCAGCAAAATCATAAAAAGTCCTATTTTTTACGAAGTTACAGTATTTGTTACAAAAGAAAGTTGTTAAAATAGGTCATTACTCTCATTAGGCCCACCCACATAAAAGTATACAACTACCTAATTAAGTAAGTAGAATTTGAATTTCTCATAGGAGACTCTAATTCCCATGCTCAACAAAATAACAATTTCTGTTATATAGAGAAAATATATGTACTCCTGTACATACATTGAAAATAATTTATCCTAGGAAATTTTGCTTGTTTTTTTTTTTTTTTTTTTTTAATACACTTCGTATGTTACTTGTTAGCTTTATTTACTCTTTAAAGTATAATGTATTCTGTATATGTTTATTTTTCTATATATTGACTAAATTAAATATTATTAAGGATTAAGTCTAATCAGAATCCTTTTCATTATCTTATTAAATAAATAAAAATAGTGTAAACCACATGAGTTTCCATGAGCTGGAAATCTGGAATATACACAAAGAACCAAAAATAGCCGACAATTAAGATCCTCATTTGGTGTCCTTTAATTTGCAACGTTGTCAATACAAACAAATAAAAAATCAATAATTTTTCTAACAATAAAAGTAAGACAACACGTTGTGAATAGGTCGTTTAAAGTGGCTGTTTTCTTTTTTTCTTTTTTTTTTTTTTTTTTTTTACAAGTAAAATGGCTGTCAACTTCTATTTATAGAAGACTAGAAGAGGGTTTTGGCCAATATTTATACTGTTATACATTAATTTAAAGAGAGATTTAAGGGGAAAAAAAAAGAGCACCCAATTAAACGAAAGAAATTAAAAAGAAATGAGAATGGAGGAGTTTTTCCACATGACTAAAGGTGATGGGGAGCTCAGTTATGCTCAAAATTCTTCTGTTCAGGTAACTCATTACAATTTAATCTTGATTTATCTCCAATTAATGAATGTTTACTAATCTTAATTTGATTATTGTTTAACTTGAAATAAAAGTTTTGGACTTTAGGTCGTTTAGTAAGCTAGCACATTTTTATATGGTACCCATAATTCGTTATACAATCTTGTTGTTACGTTGTTTATAATTTCATATTGTTGTTTGTTTTTAATGAACAAATTAAATTTAAGCATAAACATCAGTAAATTTCTATTGAAACTATTTAGAAAAAAAAAAAGAGTTATTAGCTAGTACATTGAACCAAAAAGAGATTAGCGATGATATTGATTCAAATTAGATATCAAGACAAATTCGTATTTTTATGTTTTTTTTTATGTATTATTCAAGTACATATGTATTATATATACTTGGTACTTGTACGTACATCATTATTTAATTTTGATTCATATTTAAATCCATGGAATAATATTAGGCCAATTATTTTGGTTTGTAGTTTGTTATCAATTAAAGCTTGACTCACTTGCTAAAGATCGATTTTATCTTAATTCTTAGAGGTTTTGGATTTGAATGATTTCATATTGTATATTCGATTTTTCTTTTTTTTAAAAATAATCCTTTTATTGAGTTAATATTTAGTGAGAAAATATAAAGGTTGTTATTTATTCAAAGATTACGGAGTTTCATTGAATCATAACATTTAGTTTTTCAAACCGCATCAAAGAGAAAGGGGAAGAGAGAAGCATTAGTGATAATAACTTAATAAGATAAAAAATCATGTAGGATTCCGTCATTAGAACTTAGAAGTGATTAATATAAGAAAAAACAAATTAAAATTTTTTAAACATGTATAGTGAATTGTTAAGGAAGTCATAACAAAGTAGGACATAGTTTGTGTCCCAAATAAAATTAAAAAGTGAAAAGTCGAATATAAAAAAATACTCCGTACAAACTTTGTGTGTACTGTTCAACAAATATTTAGGTGTGTACTTGTATCAGACACGTATACTTAGTGTTTTTGCTTAATTGTAGTAGTCAATAGGTTTGTTGAATCATCTAGTGATCTACATTCTACGAAGTATATTGGATTGGATTTATTAGTTTGCGCTGGATGTAAATTAATGTGGATGGACAAAGACAGCTAAGTGAATAAGTCTTTGATTATCAAAATTATTGGGAACACATTTTAATAGATTATTATAAATATATTTTATATAGCTCGGAATTTGAATCATAATGAATTTTTTTTAGAAATTTTGTGAGAAATCACCTAAATTAAACCCCCCTTTTTTTGTGTGTGTGAAAAGGTACCTTTTAAATAAATTGTTGTTAGAATCACTTAATTTTAAATTTTTGTTGTAATGTGTCGATCACCAAAAACAAAACAGAAGACAATTGAATTGTTAATGGTTGAAGCTCATTTTCCTACCTACAACAGGTGGTGATCCATGAATTACAACATAAATTTTAAATTGGTGTTTTTTTACAACATTTTGTTTGATGTGGATATAATTTTAATAAAAACTAGGTTTTGAAATAAGAATTGAATTATAAATTTTTAACACGTACTTAACTTCTTCAATTTTCCTAACTAATTTCTAATTAAATATGAATATACAATTTCTGAAAGTGCATAATTTTCATATTTAATTAAGAAATTTCAATTAAATTAAATTATTAACTATTGTTAACAACTCCTAAATAAGTAAATAGCGTAACATATGTAGAAGACCCAAAATTTAAAATTTAAAAATTCGATAGAATATATTTTCAAAGCTATGTTAAATAGGGTAGCTTAAAAAGAAAAAAATACATGACATTATCATTGCATTTTGGAGGGAAAAAATAAAATAAAAAAGCGACACGTAGGCAATGATGATATCAGCGGTTGTTATACACACACACACACACACACACATATATATTTTTTGAATAGCAAAAATATTTCATTAATTAAAAGTCATACGACATCTACAATAAAGATTCGACGTTAACAAATACATAAGATATTGAATCAAATAGAATTTTCCTTCATAAAAATTACGATCGTCGAGTAGATCTTGCACTGCGGAGCATCTCCCGCTTATATCGCTGAAAATTACAGCCTTGTTGGAGAGACAATCTAACGATCCTTTGTATATATATATATATATTTTCTCAAGGATTCTCAAGGATTTAAAAGTTTTTTTTATTTTTTTTTTTATATTTTTAATTTTTTTTATAATAATTTTCTTATTTGTATATGAGTAAGATTTGAACATGGCTGATAAAACTTGTAAGGTTTGAATCCACAATCTCACGCTTGATTATCAAAGACTCACATCCACTAATCTATGTAATATTACATGAATCTACTTGGAAACAGAATCTAATAATCATTAAGAGTGTTAAATAAAGAGCATATAATAACGAATAACACGTACGGGGCATGACTGAAGCTCTTATATAATTGCTTGTTCAATTCGTTTAAAATCATATACTTGAATTGTTTCGATTCAATATTATTCAAATGATAATCGATGATATTCAATTATTGCAACAGAGGGAAGCGTTGTCAATGAACCAAGATATATTAGAGAGCACAATTCAATCTCTAATTTCAGAGCAAAATGGGTTATCTAAAGGTCTTAATGTAGCGGATTTAGGATGTGGTGTAGGCCCAGCTCCATTGACTCTAGTATCATTGGTCGTGGAAGTTGTGCAAAGGAAGTGCAAGGATTTGAAGCTCAATAATAATGAAACCTTTCATCAAGCGCCTAAGCTTCAAATGTACATGAATGACCTTCCTTCAAATGATTTCAACTTATTGTTCAAAGATTTGCTCAATTTGGAGGTATTAAAACGAAAAGATGATGGCGTGCCCTTGTGCATCTTGATGGGTGTGCCCGGTTCCTATTATGACGTACTTTTTCCTTACAATTCTTTGCATTTTGTTCATGCAAATTACACTCTCCACTGGTTATCTAAGGTTGGTTATCTAATTACTTTGTTTGATTAATTTCTTTTCTTAGATTATACTTTCTCTATTTATTTTATTTTATTTTATTTTTTATACTTGTAATAGTTTTACTTTTACACTATTTATTTTTTTCACTTTGACTAACTTTACTTTGATGATCTATATTTAAGTAAAATTATACTCATGTGGTATGTTGTTAGATCCGTCTCAATTTATCCTAAATAATATCAAATAGTTTATAACTTTTACATATTAGTAATTTAAGATATTAACATTGAAATTATACATTGATAAGCATGGAAAGAGAAGTGTTGAAAATACTAAAAAACAGATGAAGTACCTAAATTGTGATAAGCCTATCATTTACTTATTTATAATTTATTTATTTATTTATTTATTTATTTATTTTAACATATATATCAATTAATTATGAGTTGTGTGTATTTCACATGAAAATTTTACATATTTTTTAAGCAGGGTTTAACTAACACCGTCTTCTAACATCGTAAACCATCTCATCAATAAATATCCATCAAAATTTTCTTTTTATTTCTTTGATGGAAAAATAACTAAATTTTTTTTTAACTTATTAACTATTATGAATTTTGGTAATTAACAAGCATTTTCATAACTTTGTGCTATGAATTTTACAGCCACCACCAGGACTTTATGATGAGCAGGGCATGTCAATAAACAAAAGGAAAATTTATATATCCGAAACAAGTTCTAGACCAGTTGCTATAGCTTATATGGATCAATTTGAACAAGACTTCATTCGTTTCCTCAAATGCCGCTCGAAAGAAGTGGTAACCAACGGGTCTATGCTCTTGACCCTTCGAGGTCGACCATGTTCTTCAGATTCATTCACTTGGACAACATTTGAGTTCAAAATCTTTATTAAGGCTCTTACTTGCCTTGTTTCCGAGGTCTTACACTCCTTCTGCTACTATCATTTTTCTTTTTTGTTTTTAATGTCAGTATGTCACACCTTTAGGATTATATATAAGCATTTAATATATATATATTTTTTAAAAATAATACTTTTATTACTTTAGAATTTTATAACAAAATCATATTTCAAAATTTTGCAAAAATTTTCATATTCATAAAAGCAATTTTTTTTTTGTTTTTTTTTATAAAACCTCCTTATAATTTTTTTTTCGAAGTCATACCTTAATCATTTTTTTTTGCGAAGTCATACCTTGACCCCATTTTCCGGCGTTGACTACCTCAACCTCACCCACGAAATAGTCCCTCCACAACCCCATTTACGAAATCACCCCCTCCTTAACTCTACCCATGAAACCGCCACCTCTCTTCATCCCCATCAATAACGAAATCAAACCCCCTAGCTCCTTTCCACCACCCAAGAAATCTAGATTTAGGGTAGTTTGAGTGTAAATTTAGGATTTGGGGGAGGGGAGGGGAGGGGTACAGTGTGGCTAGGGGTGCTGGCGCCAATAATGGAGGGGAGAGGTGGTCAGGGCTAATATAGAGGAGGGTTTAGGGTACGTGGTCAACGTCGTGAAAGGGGTGGGTTTAAGGTGGTCAACGCCGTGAAAGGGTGGTTTTGTGCGTTGGGCTAGGGAAAGAGGTGGTTTCGTGGGTGGATTAGGGTAGTCAACTAACGCCGGAAAAAGGACCAAACCCCATTTTCTGGCATAAAGGTATGATTTCGCTAAAAAAAGATTAAGGTACGATTTTGTTGAAAAAAAATAAAATTACAAGGAGTTTTTTTTTTTTTTTTTTTTTTTTTTTTTTTTTTTTTTTTTTTTGCAAAGTTTCCTTAGTATTTTTAATGCATCAATAACTATAAGATCTTCAACTACTTAACCCTTAGACCTACCAAAAACCTAAAGTCCTAAACAAAATTTCTCTTAAAATTCAATTTGCTATATTAGGGTTACAATTGATAGCTTACATTAAATGTTTTTTCAGGGATTGATTAATGAAGAAAAGCTCGATAGTTTCGATTTCCCTTGCTATTTTGCAAACACAGAAGATCTTGAAAGCATAGTGAAAAAGGAAGGGTCATTTGAAGTTGAAATTTCAAGGACAATAGTACTTGATGTAGCACCTGAAATTGAAGACAAATGGGAAAGAGCTCAAATCATCTCGAACTTCATTAGAGCATTTTCTGAATCATTAGTTTCACGTCATTTTGGAGAAGATATAGTCACCCCTTTATATGATAAACTCATATATTATGCATTCCAATATTTGGATAATGATGAGCCTGCTCAGAACCACGCTGTTACAGTTTTGCTTAGAAAAATTAAGCGTTGTAAATAGTAGGATAGCATTGCTTATTACCACAACACCACTTCTTTGTTGTATTTCTTGTAACCTTGCTTCTTGTTAATTACTATGTTATTCTCTCTTTGTTAATAAGCTCAGAACTTCTACTCTGTTTAATTAAGTGTTACAGTTTGATCGGTAAACCATTTTTGACTTTAATATTACACTTCGTAAAAAGTAAGTGACTGTAGGAGATTCAAAAATGTAATCGTACAAAAATATATATATACCGAAGTTAATAGTTTATTATTGAACAAATTAAAATCTCCTATATATCAGCAGCATTAAGCTGATATTCACAGCACATTACTCCATAATACTGCATGCAATAATAATTTGGTGGAAAAAGAAAACCAAAAAAGGAAACATGAGAAAAATAGATAGATAGAGAGCCAATGATTTAGATACAAGTCATACAAGTACGAGAAGAGATAAGGTCGGTGATTTCAATTTACTGTACGTAAAGTTGAGTAGGAAGTTTTTGACTTTTAATTATGTTCATCATATTCATATTTGAAAAGTCGATCAATTTGTTCACGTACTCTAATGTAAAACGTACTTTTTTATAATTATAAGAGAGGAAGAAATTGGAAATGAATTTGGGAAAGGCATTGAATCATTTGAAATTAAAGAGAGATATAAGAAGAAAATAAAGAAATTAAAATTAAGTGTTTTAGGATGAAGGAATTTTTGCATATGAATAAAGGTGATGGAGAGCTTGGTTATGCTCAAAATTCTTATGTGCAGGTAACTCGTTGTTTGAGTTTTGTATTTTCAATTTAGGCCCTGTTCTCTTTACCTTAAAAAAATAATATTAAGTAAAAATAATTTCAGTTCAGTAAAAATATGTTCAGTTCAGTAAAAATAAGTTCAGTTCAGTAAAATTCAGTTTTCTTAAAGAAGAATTATAAAAGAAAATCAGCAAAAATAATTTCAGTTCAGTAAAAATAATTTCAGTTCAGTAAAATTAAGTTCAGTTCAGTAAAAATAACTTCAGTTCAGTAAAAATAATTTCAGTTCAGCAAAATTAAGGTGAATCAAACAGGGCCTTACTTGTGATATCTAAATACGGAGTATATATCTTCATAATCTAATTTGGTAGTATATATATAAAAAATTGTACTGCGTACTCCATATTTAATCATTTAATTTTGATATGATTTTAACAATGATTTTATTGTTAAAAAAATAAAAGTCTTCAACAATTTAAGGTGAGAAAATTGGGATAAAAATAAACCGTTAATCTGGTCATAAGCCTCATAAATTATTTAAGATTATTCATTTAGTGTTAGAGAATATTATAGAAAATTGAGTTATTTGGATCATAATAATTTCTTTTAAGCTGAACTTATTAGTTTGGTTTTAATTTAAAATATTTTCTTTTGAGCCGAAATTATTAGTTTGTTTAATATTTTCCACTTCACTTAATTTCAATATTCACCTTACTTCACATCTAATGATTGGGTCATTAATTAAGGTTGTTTATCTTAAGTACATCTCAATTAATACTTTATAATATACGGAGTAGTATTTTTTTTGATTTCATATTCTCTAAAATTAAAATCAACATATTTGATCGATTTAATTGAAATCAAGTTTATGCTTTGATTCATGGTTTCACATTATTAGTAGTTTTTTTTTTTCTTTTCTCTTGTTTGCTCCACTAATTAATACTCCGTAACCAATTAATAATGTTAATTGTATTCAATAATTGTAACAGAAGGATGTGTGGTTAATGAACCAAGACATAATAGAGAGCGTAATTCACTCTCTAATCTTGGAGAAAAAGGCATATCTAAAGTCCTGGCTGTAGCTGATTTAGGATGTGGAGTGGGTCCAGTTCCATTGGCTCTAGTATCTTTGGTGATGGAAGTTATGCAAAACAAGTGCAAGGAATTGAAGCTTGATAATGATGTCGATCAAGTGCCTAAACTTCAAATGTTCATGAATGACCTTCCTTCAAATGATTTTAACCTATTGTTTGGAGATTTGCTCAATTTTGAGGCATCAAAAAGAAAAGATGATGGTGTGCCTTCTTGCTTCTTGATGGGTGTGCCTGGTTCTTATTATGACATGCTTTTTCCAGATAATACTTTGCATTTGGTTCATACAACCTACGCCCTTCACTGGTTATCCAAGGTTCGTAACCCTACATATATATGCAAGAACGATCATATATTACCTCCAATTTTTATTATTTGCAACTTTAGAATATTTTATATATTACAAATTGTTTGGGTCCAATTTAGTCAAAATTGGGCCTAAGCACTAAATGATCCAATTAAAAGCCCAAGGTCAAGGTTCAACTCTCCAATTGTGCAAAAGTCAAAGGTCAGCCCACAAAGCAAGCCAATTGGGCTAAAGCCCAACCTCTCCATGTATGATGAGGTATAAAAGCCATCATATTGACACATTCACAGATTCATGTTCATATTCACGTTCATATTCATATTCTGATTCATATACTCATTGAGATATTCAGATATATTCCAAAAAAGCCTCAAGCTACAAACTCTCTTGCATAGTGTCTTCTTTTTACACATTGTACTGACTTTAGCATCGGAGGGGCCTTCCTCGGCAACACCCCCGAGGCTAGTTTACGTGTGTTTACTGTGCAGGAAACCTTCGGCCCAACATAACTTGGGCCGAATCCAGTCTTCTCCATTTCAGCGGACCTTCGGCAAGGTCCCATTGTTTTCACCCGAAACAATTTGGCGCCGTCTGTGGGGAAGACTTTCAAAAATCTTTAAGCCAAATTCCTAACCAAGATCATCTTGCAATTATCTTAGCAGCCATGGCTAAGAACCGCAAGAGCAAAAGCCTCCGTCAAGGAGCGGGCGAAAAGCCTAAAACCCCTACACCATCGCCCTCGCCGGACCGGAACTCTCCCAAGGGTGCCGGCTCGGGGGGAGGATCATACAAGGAGGATTCCCTATCTCCCGTAATGCATGACTCTCAATATAGGCCGGACCACTCTCGGTCTAGCAGGGGTCAGTCTGATCATAGGACATATTCAGTGTCCCAAAGCCAACCATCGGCTGCGCGGCCTCATTCCCACACTCGGCCGAGGACCCCTTTGACGGGGCCCAGTTCGGAAGAGGTGGCAAGAGCGCTGGCAGTACTCATGGAGGCAATGAGGGCACAGAATATGCCACCGCCTCGTGATCGAACTCCTCCGCATACCCGGCATCAGCGGAGGAAGTTAGACCATGACGGTGGGAAGCTTCCTTCCTTCCGGGAACTGGAAGAGTGGGAGGAGGATTCTTGGAAAAATGAAAAACAGAGGAAAAAGAACCCTCAATTATTTAAAGGATCCTCATCCTCAAGACCAGAAGCGCATAAGAGCAGCAGCTCAGCTTCTCGGCCAGAATCTACTCGCCGAGAACCTGAGACTGTTCGCAGAAGCGTCCTTGACCGACTCGGCGGCCAGGAACCGAGCGTGCGTAGTCGCCTCTCGTTCCCTGCAGCCGAGGCCCAGACTTCCCAGCCAGGGACGAAAACCACTCCTACCTCTCTAAGAGGGCGGAGCGCGGTCCCTTCGGCCAGGAACAAGGGCAAGGCCGTTATGCTACCCGCTAGTTCACTATTCGAGCAATGGATACTGGAAGAGCGCGTACCCACGGTTAAAATACCGTCGCATATCACATATGACGGGACCACGGATCCGAAGGACCACGTGGCCTCGTATGAGACTCATATGCATCTTTGCCCCAGATCCGAGGCGACTTGGTGCAAATATTTCCCAACCACTCTCAAGGGGGTCGCGCAAGCGTGGATCTCCAAGGGAGTAAGGCAAGGCTCCATAACAGGTTGGGATGATATGTCCTCCAAGTTCAGGAGCAAGTTTTCCACGGCAAACCGCCGAGAGAAGACTACCGCAGAGCTCATGAGTCTGCAACAGGGGGAAACCGAAAGCCTCCGAGACTACCTGACCCGTTTCAGTAACGAGTCATCAAGCGTCTCCCAGCTGGACCAGGGGTTAGCTGTTTTTGCAATGCAGAATGGCCTTCAGCCAGGAAAGTTCCTAGACTTCATGGTCATGCATACCCCGCAGACCTTGGAGGAAGCTCTTAGTGCTTCGGATAAGTTCATCCGAGCCGAAGAATGGAATAAAGCAAAAACCCAACCTCAATCCGGGGGAGGGAAACAGAGGCAAATACCCTTGTCTGAAGGCCAAGGCCATAAGGCAAAGGGAAAATCAAAGGCTCCGGAGCCATCTTTGGCAAACGACCTAAAGAAGGACAGATTAGCCTCATACACAGGCAGATACGAGTCCTACACTCCGCTCTCTCTTCCACGCGCCAAAATTTACAGTGTGACGAAGGAAGAGCAGAGTTACCGAAAGCCGCGACCACTCCCAGAGTGGTATCAGCGAAAAAATAAAAATAAGTGGTGTGAGTTCCACGAGTCTTCGGGCCACAACACTGAGGAGTGTATCCAACTGAAGGACCAGATAGAGGACATGGTCCGGAAGGGATACTTGAAAAAATACATCGCGGATCACCGCGAGAAAAAAGAATCCGAGAGGTCAGCAAAGGACCCTCGGCAGGACCTTGATTTCCCCCGGAAAAACAGTAAAAAGCCGGAGGGGAAATTCCCTCCGATCAATGTTATCTCGGGAGGAATATACTCGCGGAGGGAGCACAAGCGCCACCTTAGAGCTTTGACTCACCAGGTGAACAACGCTGACATTCAATCTCCCCAGTCGTCGGTGCCGAACATGACGTTCACAGCCGCCGACTGCCGGGGGATCACGTTCCCTCCTGAGGATCCGTTGGTGATCATCGCCACGGTGGCCAACCACGACGTCAGTAAGGTCCTTGTTGACGGTGGCAGTGGAGCAAACATTCTGTTCCGAAAGGCCTACAATCAAATTAAGCTGAAGCCCAAGCACCTTACGCCGGTACCCTATCCGGTATCCGGGTTCAATGGGGCTTCAACTTATCCAGATGGGAAGGTGACACTTCCTATCACCATCGGTTGCGATGAGGCAGCCCGGAACGTCATGATTGAATTTTTGGTCATCGACGCTCCTTCAGTGTACAACGTGATTTTGGGGAGACCCATAATTCACGAGATCCAAGGGGTCGTCTCAACTTATCATCAGCTGATGATTTACGTCTCAGACGCCGGCTTCCCCGAAAGGATACAGGGCAACCAAAAGGACGCCCGAAGGTGCAACTACCTCAAACCATCCAGTAGTCGCCCAGACGACGACAAGGATGAGGAGGGGAAAGGAAAAGAAAGAGAGC